GAGAGGAGAGGGGAGAGAGGGGAGAGAGGGGAGGGCAGAGAGGAGAGGGGAGAGAGGGGAGAGGAAGGGGGGCTAGTGACAGAGAGAGACTCCATTCCCATGGAAGTCCTTCATGCCACTGAGCCCCACATCAGGCCAGGTGGGGAGCAGGAGGCTCCCCACCCTGTCCGGATGGGGGGAGGGGTCCTGGGTGTGGGGCTGCTCCCCTCCCCACACCCCCTAATCCGCCTTCTTGGTTTTCTTCTTCCTGGAGCCCTCGCTCAGCTCCTCCTTGGACCTGGGCAGAGGGGAATGCTGGGGGCCAGGCCCCACCCCGTGGACACCGCCACCGCCACTGTGGGCAGCCCCGTGGTTGTCATGGTGATGGTCGCCACTGCCCCAGGAACCCCCAAACAGCACGGGGCAGACGTAGGCCTCCAGGACGTCGAATGGACAGCTGTGCGAGTGAGTGGCTGTGAGGAACACCTGCAAGGCGGAGGTGGAGGGGCCGTGGAGGGGGGAGAAGGGGAGGAGAGGGGAGCAGGAGTCACAGAGGTGGCCTGGCCCTGCATGCACCGCAGGACCCCAGCTAACTCCCCAGCTGGCCAGTTCTGGGGGCAGCCCTGGGACCAGTTGGTGGACTGGTCCCCAGGAGTCCTCCCTATACCCTGTTGGCGGTGACCAGTTCATCAGGGCCCACAGGTGGTCTGGGGTGCAGATGGACCAGAGGCAGTATGCTTTCTAATACACCCTAGGTCCTGGGTTCAATCTCCAGCACCATAAAAAACCCAAACCAAAACCAAAACGGGGTAGCTCGGCTGGGTGTGGTGGTTCACGCCTGTAATCCCAGCACATCTGGCACAGGAATCGGCCCCTACGACACCAGCACACAGTGAGGGTCTGTAAATCAATCCCCCAGCCAGGAACACCTGGACAGTCAGTCCTGGAGCTTGAACTCGGGGCCTGGGCGCAGTCCCTGAGCTTTTCTGCTCCAAGCTAGTGCTCTACCCCTTGAGCCACAGCTCTACTTCTGGTGTTCTGCTTGTTGATTGGAGACAAGAGTCTCAGGAACTTGACTGACCGGGCTGGCTTTGAACCTTGATCCTCTGATCTCAGCCTCCTGAGTGGCTGGGATGTCAGGCGGCAGCCGCCAGCACCTGGCTCTTACATTTTTTGTTTAGCTTTATTTTTTCTGTCTTTTTTTTTTTTTTTTTTGGTCCTGGGGATTGGACCCAGGACACTGCACTTGCTAGGCAAGTGCTTTGCCACAGAGCTACAGCCCAGCCCTAGCTCTCACATTTTTGACAGAGTCTCACTATGTCCACCTCAGGCTGGCTCAAACTCTCCATTCTCTGGTTTGCACTTCCCCAGGGCTAGGATTCCAGGCAGGTGCTACCATACCCGGCAGCTCCCAGCCTTTCCTCCCTCTGGTCTCCGCACCTGAGGCACTGGCCCCCCAGCCTTACGTGGGTGGGGCCCTGCACCTGCAGGCCTCCCCGGAGCCCCCCTGCGGGCGCCCCCCCCAGCCGGGAGGAGGCCCCAGTGGCTTACTTTGCAGGACACCATGAACATGGTGAAGAGGAAGATGAGGCTGGCCTTGGACACGGGCAGCCAGCGCGTCTGCTGCAGGGTGAACAGGACGGCACCGTACAGGCTGGCCTTGGTGGGGCTGTGGGGGTGGACGCAGTGACCGGGGCAGTCCCCGGCCGACCCCCCCCCCCGCCCCAGGCCCAGCTGCAGTAGGAAGCAGACAGGTGGGTTAACCTGGGATAACCTGGCACAAAGAAAGACCTAGCCTGGGCTCAGCTTCCGGAAGTTTCCCTGACGCTCTGGGCACTGAGGGTCCTGCATCTCTGGCCCGGCCGAGCAGCATGTACCTGGGCCTCCACAGGCACCAGAGACCCTGGCGGTGTGCCCACGCGTTGGGTCTGTGAGGGGTCACCAGGACACACAGGTCACTCTGGTGAGCTTGGATGGAAGTCTGCTCACTTCTCTGTCTGTCTCTCTGTCTGTCCTGGGTTTTGAACTCAGGCCCTGGGTGGGATACCTTAGTTTTCATTCTTTATTTTTTGCTCTATCACTGGAACCATAGACCCACTTCTAGCTTCTTGTTGGTTCATTAGAGACCAAAGTCTCACAGACTTCCCTGCCCTGGTTGGTTTCGAACCACAGTCCTCACATCTCAGCTACCTAAGCAGCAAGGATGAACCAAAAGCTCCTACTTACCCGTCAAAACCCAAATCAAATGTGCCCTTCCCCTCTGCAGCTCTCCCTGGCTGAACTGTGGCCCCAGTGTGTGTTTCCCCAGCCAGAGTCTCTGGAAGCTTCTACAAGGCAGTCAGGGGCTGAGGCCCTAACTCAGGGAGGGCTCCTCTGGCACACAGGGGGAGGGGAGAGGAGGGGACAGTACTCACAAGGACATGTGCAGAATCTCATTCGTCTCCGGCTTCCACACGCCCCGGAGCAGCTGCTCCACGCTGGACAGGAGGGCGACCCCAGAGCCTGCCGGACAGGACAGGGCGGGGAGTGCAGGGCTGAGCTGGGAAAACTATCAGGGGCTTCAGGCAGGTGCTCAGCTGCTGAACCACACCTCTGGCCCAGGCTTACACCGGCTGCTTTTGAGATGTGGGTCTCCCTTCTTGCTTGGGCATGCACCTGGACATCCATCTGCCTAGTCTGTTTTACTTTAATTAATGAATGAATTGTCAGTTGTGGGGCTTGAGCTCTGGGCCTGGGCACTGTCCCTCAGCTCTTCAGCTCAAGGCGAGCGCTCTACCACTTGAGCCACAGCGCCACTTCCAGTATTTTGGTGGTTTATTGGAGATAAGAGTCTCACAGAATTTCCTGCCCAGGCTGGCTTTGAACTGTGATCCTCAGATCTCAGCCTCCTGGGTAGCTGGGTGACAGGCTATGAAACCTGAGTTGGCCTCAGACCAGAATCCTCCCCTTCTCAGCCTCCCGATCGGCTGGGATCACAGAGGGGAGCGGCTGGCACCTGCCCAGGACGATTCCTGGGAGGGGCTGTGCCCGGTCCGGCTCACCTTTGACCCAGCCTGTGGCGATCATGATGAACCAGCCGTGGTGGTAGTGGTGGTGGGCGTGGTGGATACCCACGGCGATCTTGCGGACTCTCACCACCTCCTTCATGGCCACGAAGATGAGCTTCACGGGCAGGAAGCACACACACTTGTAGAACAGGTCCAGCGGGCAGAAGAAAATCAAGTACCTGTGGACAGCAGCAGGCGGGGTGAGGGGAACCCCCAGGCCATCCCGGAGTGGGGGGGAATGTTTCTGGGGCCGAGATGGTCGTCCCCCCCCCCCCCACATACCAGACGGCAGAGGCCAGCAGCACGCTGGAGTTGTTGCTGAAGTAGTCGATCACCGGCTCTCCCAGGAGCAGGTCGGCCAGGATGTAACTCCCGAAGCAGTGCAGCATAGCGCAAAGCCAGGAGGCCGCAGGGTGGCGCCGAGACAACTCCACGGCTCCTGGAGGCCGGGGCGGGAGGTGCCTGGGATCACCACAGGGCCCACCGGCCCGCCGCAGCCTGGCTATGCAGCTGCCCCCTCCAGCTCCCGCACCACGCCGGCGCTCAGCACACCAGCAGGTGCAGCATTTGTATGGAAAGAGGAAGTCCTCAAAAGGGCCTGGTCACCTCTGATCACAGAAGTCTTTTGGCCGCCAGGGGGGGAAACTGAGGCGGGGGACGCTGTGAGGTGGCTACGCTACCTACACATATGCCAGCGTCCCTAGGAGCCCACGGTGGTCCTGTTTCTGCCTTCGTTTTATTTTATGGTCGTTGTAGGACGGACATTGAACTTACTGCTATGGGTAAGTTGTCTGCCCTGGGGCTTGAACTCTAGCCCTATGTGCTGTCCCTCAGCTCTTCAGCTCAAGGCAAGTGCTCTACCCCTTGAGCCACTGCACCACTTCCAGTTTTCCGATGGTTTATTGGAGAGAAGAGTCTCACGGACTTTCCTGCCAGGGGTGGCTTTGAACCTCGATCCTCAGATCTCAACCTCCTGAGTAGCTAGGATGACAGGCGTGAGCCACCAGTGCCTGGCAAAACTGTTGTTTTTAAGAGTTCAAGGATGGGAGCTGGGAAGGTGGCTCAGTGGTAGAGTGTTTGCCTTGCATGCATGAGGCCCTGGGTTCGATTCCTCAGCACCACATAAGAAAAAGAAAAAAGCTGGAAGTGGTGCTGTGGCTCAAGTGGTAGAGCGCTGGCCTTGAGCTGAAGAGCTGAGGGACAGTGCCCAGGCCCAGAGTTCAAGCCCCACGACCGGACCCAAAAAAAAGAAAAGAAAACTTAAGGGACAGCACCCAGGACTGACTGACACATACACACACACAATCACTCACACATATACACCAAAGAAGAGTCACCATAACAAGACCATAGTTTCAAAATAGAAGAATAAAAGCAGGAAGTCTAGTCGTATCTAAGTAGGTTCATGAGATCACAAGTGCTAGGGATGCAGGATCAGTATCCATCTCCACTCTCATACTTGTCACTCCCCACCAATTCGTTTATTTTCTAGTCCTGGGGATGGAACCGGGGCCTGGTACACGCTAGGCTGGCGCTGCCCACCGCCCCCACCCCTGGTACCATGCGTTTTGTCTTCAGAGTCCTAATGCTTACTTCTATCCCATTTTTATGTTCATATCACCACCTCCTCTTCATGCTGCACCTGAGCGGGGCCTGGGCTCTCCAGGGCCTAAACTCTGGGCCTGGTGCTGTCCCTCAGCTCTTCAGCTCAAGGTGAGCGCTCTACCACTTGAGCCACAG